TTTTAATAGTAAAAATTGACATGTTTCACAAAAATTTTACATAGCTATGACAGTAGACATGTCGATCGCGTGAAATCTTGACTGACTGATAGTGTTTGTTTAACATCACAATTGTGTTACCAATATAGTGTGATCACGAGCATAGTGGAAATTCTATTTTTGCAATTGTCACATTTACATTTTAGTAGAAGATCTTCGTATTACATACATAATAAAATTTGAATTATAACTTTAAATTAAAGAGTTTTTTATGTATTGTTCTTTTTTACATGATGTACAAACATACAGTACCTGGAAAAAAGTATCTGAACACTTGCTTTTGTTGATTGCGCAAAAATATACATAATAAACATGTATGAAATTTATATCATTTGCGGTTTAGGTTCTTGTGAATATCTATGCAAAATCCCATACAACTAAGTTTCGCAGAACTCGAATAAATATATAAAAATGAAATTCGATTAAATTTGACAATCAAAAACTTTAGACATGATTTTTTTAGAAATTGTCCAAGAACCTACATAGTATTATGTTTTGGAAATTTTGTATATGAAAACCCAAGTTTGGTGATTCTGAAAAATTTTTTTTTATTACATATTTTTTAATAACTTTTTTTTAAAAAAAATTTTAAAAAGTTTTCAAAATTTTAAATTTCAAAAAAAAAAAAGTCTAATTTAACTGAAGCTCAACACGGACAAATAGTTGGCCTTTATAAAAGTGGAGCCTCATATAGAATTATTTCTAAAATACTTGGCTTCCCACCGCAACAGTATATCGTATTAGAAGTCGTCCAACAATCTAAGAAATCTTAAACTTGAGGCTACTTTAAAAGAGGAATGGAATAAAATTCCTCGAAACTTTTTAATGAATTTGATTGAAAGCATGCCTAGTAGAATTCAGGCTTGTATAAAGAGCAAAGGATACCCAACTAAATATTAAAAATAGTTAAAATTTTAAATTGAAAATTATTACATAGAATTTGAGAATAAAATAAAAAGTTTCGCGTCAGAGATTTAGTGATCGTCAAAGAAAATTTTTTAATCAAATTTCATTTTTATATATTTATTCGATTCCTACAGAACTTAGATGTATGTGATTTTGCATAGATATTCACAAGAACCTAAACCGCAAAAGATATAAATTTCATACATGTTTATTATGTATATTTTTGCGCAATCAACAAAAGCAAGTGTTCCGATACTTTTGTCCAGGTACTGTAAAATGTATCTTTATGAGGAATGTAACTTGATTCAATTTGAATGTTATCAAATGGTTCAAAATTCTTCCTAAGAACAACAGTTTCTTCCGCATGTTTGGAAAAAGATCATGACCAAATAATGAATCATACCAGAAACATAATATCTCATCTAATTTATCAAAAGTTGGCCTTTTTGTTGGATCCGCGTCAAGACATTGTTTAGCTAATCGGAAGTAATTCGCTGGAGCAGTGTTCTTATTTATTTCCGGTCTCAATCCCTCCCCACAAACTCTTGCGGCCAGGTTTTCATCGTGTGGAATATCATAAAATGGCGGTTTCCCAGTAGTCATTTCGGTCATTATCACACAAAAACTATAAACATCTGATTCCTTAGATTGTGGCTGTCCGTGCAGTACTTCTGGTGCAATATATGGTAAAACACATTCCTATTACTATTATTTCTAACATCCGATGAAAATCCAAATCCTGTAATATAATCACTTCTTTTTTTTACTAAAATATTCCCACAATGAAGATTACGATGAACGCATCCCGCACGATGAATTCTTTTCATACCATTTGATATGTTGAAAAGGATTTCGATCCTACTTGTCCAATGGGATTGTAGGGACCCTAGGGATTCTTGGATTTTATTATCCAGAAAATTTCGTAGACTAGCTTCTTTATAATCCATAACTATTATATAATTTTTGGTTTCTGTGTAATACCATATAATCTTAATAATTTCTCTGTAACATATTCTCGATCTTAGAAGCATTTAAAATAAGCTTCAATCTATTATATGTGTGTAAAATATGCACATGATATTTATGAAATATAATGTATATTAATAACTTAGATTTTATTTATATTATTACTCATTACCTTTGATAAAAAATCAAGGAATATATCATAACCACTTTTTATTTCTTTCATAGCGACATCAATTACTTTGTGTTTACTTTTAACATTCCCATCACAGTATCTCAATCCATCATGCCACTTGGCATGATACGCAACCCCATAGCCACCTTCACCAATTCTTTTGATAATTTCAAGATTTCCATAAGGAATGTATTCAAGAAATGGGTCATCTTAATGATTTGCTTTTTTTACATTGTTTAAGATCCAATCCCTTATGGTTTCATCTTCGATATACCAACCCTCAATTAAGCGTTCTGGATTGCATGATTTACACCATTGTCTTCCTGTGTTGTGATAAACAAATGCCATAATTTTCATTAATACTCTTTTTTTTTTATTTTTAAAAAAATATATTTATTAAGGATAAGAATGAATATTATTATTATTTACATTTATTTGTGGTGTATTTATAATGGTAATTGTTTTTTTTTGTGTTATTATTCTCTTTCACATACCATACACAGGTAAACTTGGAAGGCTAATTTCAGCAGGTAATAATTTCTAAATTTATAAAAATTTTCACAAAGTATTATTAGACTATAACAATAGCCTTGTTTATATGTAAAACTATAAAACATTAAATTTTTTCAGAATGTTGCTATCAATTAGATGATAAAACACATATCTACATGTTCCACCTATTCATGGAAAATACATCATATTTTTTTTAAACGCAAATGAAAGATGCTCGAAATTGTATTTTAAAATAACCGGGTTTTTCCGGTTCATTTTTGAAAAATTATTTATTATTATATTATTATTGTGATAGCAACTGGACCTAAACTGTATCTTAATTGAAAATATCTTCTTTGAGAATTTCCAATTATAATAAAAAGATTTTGAAATTTTTCTTCGTGATAAAAATAATGAGTTCTTATAAAACTGAATTAGTAACAGGAAACCTAATTTTATATTTAAGGGCAACCTAATGAATTTAAAAAGAACAAGTTTTATGTGTCAATTAGACGGTCGGTTTAAAGAAGATTTAGTGGCTTATGTATAACCTGTGATTTTTGTGGTTATCATCAATGTCTCAAATTAGCAGGAAAAAAACATTTGATTGATAAAATAGAGTTGCTTAAACATCAACATATTTCATACCAGAATCATTGTCCCTTTATGTTTTTGGGGAATGTAATAAAGAAAAGCATGGTTTTTTTTTCTAAATATTGTATATTAATATCATTATTTTTGACATTAAAGAAATTGTCATGGAACAATATCTGATAGAATTTTATATTATCTGTCTCATCAATTATGCAAAATATATTAATTTGTGATTATAAATCCTAAAAACTCTCAAGAAACTAAAGAAAATGTTTTTGTAAAGAAGGCTGGACATTTCATACGATCCTAAATCAAATGTGAATAGTGAATTAATTGTTGACCATTGACCTAATGATGGCAAACAGGTGTTCAAATATACCAATAATTTATTTTATTCACGAGAAACATGGCTAGTTTGTCTTCAAACTAAACAGACAAAAGAGTAGTTGAACATGGACTCATTTCAAAGGTGATAATAACGATCAAGAAGAGCCAGTAAAAATTTGATCAGTCTCAAATATACATGCTATGGTAATTATTTTGCCAAAAACGTAATAAGTAATACGTAATACGTAATTACGAAATTAATTACGAAATTAATTATGGGTGACGAAATTAATTACGGGCGACGAAATCAATTACGCGTGACGAAATCAATTACGCGTGACGAAATCAATTATGAATGACGAAATTAAATGACACCTATTATTTATCTCGTTATACTAGTATAATGACATAATTTGACAACTTTTTTTAGAAATATAGAATTTATTCTGTTATAAAAACATGTCAGTATAATGGAGAACCAATCAAAATCATTCTCATTTCTGAAAAAACATAAATAAAACTTATGCCGGGATCAAGATTGACTGGCGCCATGGAAAATTCTGATAACACTTCTGTATAATGCTGGTCAATTTTGACCCAGCGTAAGTTTTAAATTTCCTGATAAATCATGAATGAAATAAAAATAAAATATATATATTAATATGTATAATAAAAATAAAATTACGAAATCACGTGATAATGATTCTCATATGACTTCTATATGAACTCCCGTTATAATGACATTCTCGTCATACTGACATTTTTTGTTTGTACGGAGAGTGTTGTTATAACGGGAGTGACTTG